TTTTTTAAACTCATTCACGGGATGTGGACATCGTTAGCGAGGCCAGCATTTATTGCCCATTGGACAGTTAAGAGTCAAACTTATTGCTATGAGTTTGGAGTCACATGGGTGACAGTTATTCAATCATAATATCAGTATGGATTGTGAAATGGATGTATACTTTTAAACATATTATCAGTAATTTAAAATGTTAATGTGCACGGGGCATAATATTCATATGGGCCCTTTTCAACATTAAGAACCAGCTGAGGTAAGGATGACTGTTTCCTTCTCTCAAGGACATCAGGGTTTTTCTCCAGCAATGGGCAATGGCTTCATGGACATCATTAGACTCTTGATGCCAGATTTTTAACGATTTCCATATCCATTATCTGCCATGGCAGGATTGAAACACTGGTCGCCAGAACATTACCTAGGTCACTGAATTAATAGTTTACGAATAACACTACTTGACCATCCTCTCCTCAAAGCTCCCTCCATTGTATAACCACATTCCAAACTCTGCATTTCTATGACTTTAACTTGTTTTACATTTCCATCTCCTACACACCATCAACACCATACTTTGCTGCAAATACTCCAATTCCCGCCCTAAACTTACTTGTCTTTCTGTGCACTTTACCACCTTCCTTAAAAATCACTTTAATGAAGCTTTGGTCATCCCTCAAAATGTCTCTTTTGGTTTAGTGTCCATTTTTATCTTGACACTTGTTAAGTATTTTAAGATCTTTTCCAATATTAAGACAATATATGCATGCATGTTGTTGTTTCTGAAATGAGTCATAAACTTCAGGTAAGAACTAAAATTGGGTGTTCCAGAGTCACAGGTGGTTTTTCCCAGTTGACTGCTTTGCATACCTGTGGTATCTACCTCACCTATCAGTCTGTGATATGTGATTCTGGGTAATGATTGTTTGGGATTGTTTGCCTTTGTCTTGGGCCTATCTAGTGATTAATGGTAGAAGATGTACCATCATAGTATATCTACAGAAAGGCACTGTTTCTAAATAACAAGTATTATCGCAGGACAACAATAAGTATAGTCACATTTGGTCAGGAGTTACTGGAACCTGAAGGAACTGATCCAGAGATATTTTCTCTCTCTGAAAGCTAGAGTAGAACTCCTTGTCTCCACACTTACCTAACCTTAGTGGCTGAAAAAAAAAGCTGGTTGATCTTCTTTATGCTGATAGTGCACCAGCAAAGGTATTGGGTTAGAAATTCCCGGCAATGGATCCGGCGGTAATGAATATAATGTACGACTTGGAGGTGATGCTGATCTTGTGACATTGTTGGTCTTACTCTTAGTGGTAGCCATTACAGAGGAAGAAGGTGATAAATTATGTAAAAGGTTCATCATTGATCTGAAGTATTGGGTGGAATCTTCCAGGCCTGGGAGTGCGTAAGGAGCTTAATTAGGAGGGATGTTGAGGACCAGAACCTCGCACCCTTCTTGCCTCTACCAGAATTAAGTCCTGAGTGGGAACACTTAAGCTCCACCTTCCATCCCTGCTACCAATTGAAACAAGAAGTGGACAATTAATGATGGCTAAGGATTTATTCCTGCCATGGCTACAATTCTTATAGCTCCAGGTGAAGGGATCTTGTGGTACAGTGGTCGTGCCCCTACCTCTGAATCAGGAAGTCTGGGTTCAAGTCTCACCTGCTTAGAAAATGTCCAGCACCAGGTGAGATAAGAAAGAGTTGGCCTGGCTGACTGACTAACCAGGGCTGGCAGGCTGTCAATGGTTATGGGAGCTATCTGTGGTTCCTCCTAAATCTGCAAATCTCCAATAAATTTGTGCACATTCAAGGGAATGGAGAGCGGGTGTGGCCTCTGACACCGGCTACTTGGCCCTTCCTTCCAACCTCCCTGGCTGCCTCTTCCCATGATCCCCACCCTGCAAGATTCCCTCTTTCCCAAGCAACGTTTAGTTTTCTTGTGATGATCCCTGATCCTAGAAGTGGAACTGACAGTGGCTGTAACCTCTGTCACAATAGGCCAGCAGCTCTTGGTGACTGGGACTGCTTTATTCTGGATCCTAATTATTTCCCAAGCATTTCTAGCCTTTTCTGTTTCTAGTTCAGATTTCCAGCATCCCTGAAATATTTTGGCTTTGCATTTGATGTGTTGCTGTATTGAATCCTGTAGAAAATACAAATGACAGCAAATAGAACAAGGGACATCTCTGGCTGTCACACTTAAGACTATAGAGTAATTGTGTAGAAGGAACATCTAATATTGAATGAGATCAAAGTGTTGCTGAAATTAATTTCTTGCTTGCATGTTTTCAGGTGCCGATCTCTAAGTATTTCAATTGCATTACTTTTCTTTTGCTGTTTGAATTGTTTGGTCATTTAGTTTACTAAGTTTACTGCCACATTGCAAAGGAACGTCTGGTGTTACGTCAAACATATCACAGTGAGCAAGAATAATATATAATGGGATATCCCCTGCTAATGTTTTATTTAATTTGAGGTCAGGTGATAAACTCAAAGTAACTGAGAAAGCAGGCATTAATAGATGAAGTAGTTCTAAGTTATGATAACGTATCTGTCTGTGAAACAACTATAGATCCACAAGCCACCTTTAAGGTGAATCTAATTACTATAGAGTGGACCAAGCAGGACAAACAGGGCAAATGAAAAATACCATACCACAGATGCTGGAATACCTAGTGAAGTTTCTTTGGACTTCTTCCATTGCCTGTAACTCTTTCCTTAGATAAGAAGACCAAAACTATTCACGGTATTCTTGATGTGCTCTGACTGATACCATGTGTAATTTTGGCAAGACCTCCCCATTTTTATACTAAATAAAAACCGAAAGAACTGCAGATGCGGTAAATAAGGAACAAAAACAAAGTTGCCGGAAAAGCTCAGCAGGTCTGGCAGCATCTGTGAAGGAAAAAACAGAGTTAATATTGGGTCTGGTGACCCTTCCTCAGAGGAGGAGTTCTGAGGAAGGGTCACCGGATCGGAAAAGTTAACTCTGTTTTTTCTTTCAGAGATGCTGCCAGACCTGCTGAGCTTTTCCAGCAACTTTGATTTTGTTCCCCATTTTTATACTCTGTTCCTTTTGAAATAAAGGTTAGCAGATGATTTGCCTTCCTAATTACCTGCTGAATGTGGATGCTAACTTTTTATGATTCATGCATGAGGACCTCCAAAACCCGTGGAGCTGCAGCTTTCTGTCATCCTTCTCCATTTAGATAATACCTGGCTCTTCTATTCTTCGGGTCAAAATGCATAACCTCACAGGGCCTTGGGTCGTGTTGTAGAGCAAAGGGACCTAGCGGTTCAGGTACATAATTCTTTGAAGTTTGCGTCACATTTGGACAGGTTGGTGAAAAAGGTGTTTGTCACCCTTGCCTTCATTGCTCAGTCATTTGAGTCTAGGAGATGAGAAATCATGTTGAGGTTGTACAGGACTTTGGTGAAGCCTCTTCTGAAATACTGTGTCTAGTTCTGGTCGCCCAGTTACAGGAAGGATATTATTAAGCTGAAGAGGATTCAGAAGAGATTTACCAGGATGTTCCTGGGTATGGAAGGTTTGAATTATAAAGAAAAGCAGGATAGGCTGAAACGTTTTTTACTGGAGCATGGGAGATTGAGAGGTGATCTTATAGAAGTTCATAAAATCATGAGAGGTATAGATAAGATCAATGGTAGGTGTCTTTTCCCTAGGATGGGGGTTTCAAGATGAGGGAGCACATTTGTCAAGTGAGAGGAGAGAGATTTAAAAAAAACATGAGGGGCAAATTTTTCACACACAAGGTGGTTCGCGTGTGGAATGAACTTTCTGAGAAAGTGATGGATGTGGGCACAATAATAATGTTTAAAAGACATTTAGATAAGTACAGGAATAGGAAAGTTTGGAGGAATATGGCCCAGGAGCAGGCAGGTGAGACCAGTTTAGTTTGGGATTATGTTCAACATGGACTGGTTGAACCTAAGGGTCTGTTTCCGTTCTGTATAACTCTATTTCTATGACTATGATTATATTCCATCCACTACATTTTTGTCCACTCACTTAATCTGTCTATTTTCCACTGCAGATTTCTTGTGTTATCCTCACTACTTGCCTTCCAACCCATTTTTACATTATCCACAAAATGGTTGATGACTGTTCATCAGAATAAAAGTAACAATTAGGAATTTCTTTTCTCAATAAGTGAGAGATGTTTCAACAATATAATAGACAAAGTGATAAAAGAAAAATATTGATGTCATTCAAAATATAGTGAGAGACCTTTGTACCAAAGATAAAGCAATCATTTTAGCTCAAAGCAAGTTCTTTTACTCAGTCATTATTAATCAAAGATGGGAATTTCTGAAATACTTGATTATCACTCGTCTCACATGCAGCATGAGGTAAATTTCATGTGATTTTCTACCTCTTCTTGTTAACAGATTTGACAACATGCAAGGCTCCCTGATTAGCAAGAGCTTTAGAAATTCTACTGAAGGAGGTTCAAAAAAATTAAGCACAATCACATTTAACTAAATAGAATAAAAAAACATGGGGGATGAGACAAAAGGCATCAGCATTCATCCTCTGAGAGCGATGTTGAGTTACTAATGCATTGATAATGTGCTGAGTGGCTATTTTTTCCCTAACTTTTATGTTCTAACTGCTGTTTCCTTTGTTTTTCTCCATTTCTTTATCAATTACGCTAATTAGTGTTACACATTTTTCAAATGTATATACAGGTCCCTTAGCGATACAATCAGTTTGTTTGAGATAGAGCTCGCAGTGATGTTAATTAGAACAAATTCAGGCAATCTAGGAAAACGTTGTTATTTTTGCACAATGAAAACTGTAGCATCATTCCAGCATTAGATATTGATTCTAGATTGTATACTTGTCTTTACAATTAAATATGGATAATATATTTATCAAGATTCATGTTTACTGAATTAAAGTTAAGATACACAAATTGAGTTTTTCTGAGTTAAAAAAGGTTGTATTTGATTTAATTAGTGACATGCCATTTCAGGGAGTGCTGAGGTGGTGGTTATATACAAGGAAGTAACTGGAACTGTTATGAAAGCGCAAGTATACCATATTTGAACTCAGATGTATTAACTTCGCCAAAAATGAGGATTGCAGGTAGGAATTTCACTTTCAAACTCTTTAAGTGACTTGATTATTGTACCTTTAGTATTTAGAATTTTCTTTGTACGTTTCAGTAATTTAGTAATTAATGCTGTTTTTAGAAATGTGAATTGGAGCTTCACAATTCTCAATTCAAACTGAGTTTGTAAGTAGTAGTTGACTGTGAGGTGAGATCATGAGGTAAGATATGTAAATAATTATTACAGCTTAACAAAGCATGGGTAATATTTGTCAGCAGAGGGGCTGGGCCGAAGGATCTTTCAATGACAAAGTATATATTCATACTGATATAAAGGTTAAGAAATGGAGTCTGATGCATGTAATATGCAGGTGAATTTATTCAACTTACTGGAGAAATGATTAAAATCAGAAAGTGGCAATGAGTTTCATTAAACATGGATTAGAAGGGACAGAAAGTTAACTTCAGGAAAGTTAAGTGAAAAGAGATGTGGTAACTTGTTACAGGACAGAGAATATAGCTTTTGTCAAGGAATTTAATTTAACTTCAGAGTAAACATCTGGGTTTATTAATGCAGAAATTAACCTTTAACAATTCTTATAAACTGAGAAAGTAACGTACACTTGATTAAGTAAATAAGGCCAGGGACAGGAGGATGCTAATTGTGGGTCACATTAATCCAATCTAAATAAACTGCAAAGAGGCTTTAGGTGGTCCACGCAAGACAAATGTTTCTTATACAGAATGCTGACTGAAAAAAAAAGTGAAGAGGTCATTCTTGATCTTGAATACTGCAATATATGAAATTTGGGGAATATTTTAACATCATTAGATTTTAATAAGGAAATTCAAGATCTCAAGAAAGCTAATATTAAAAGATATATATAGTTGGGAGAGTTAATTGGAAATAATACTAATGGTTTAATTTTAATATATATTTATTCTTTAACCTGGATGATGACCAGGTCTTTCTGTACCTGGAGCACTTAAGTACCTAAGCGGTTGCAAAATGGTGCTGAACATTGTGCAGTCATCTGAGAATATCCCCACATTTGTCCTTATGACGGAGGGAAGGTGATTGATGAAGCAGCTGAAAAATGGTGGAGTCTTGGACACTTACCCGAGGATCTCCTGAGACTGAGATGATCAACCTCCAACAACCACAACCATCTTTCTTTATGCTAGGTATGATTCCAACCAACTTAATCCCCAATGAAAGCAGTCTTGCCAGAGCTTCTTGATGCCACACTTGGCCAAATGCAACCTTGATGTCAAGGGCAGTAACTCTCACCTCAGCTCTAGAATTCAACAGTGTTCTCCACTTCTGGCACCCCCTTAAAATATATTTTATCCCTTCTTCTTTCAACTTTCAGGATCTCCCTTGCTGTTTGCTGTGACATTTTATAACCAGTCAAATTGTTGGAGCAATAGACTTGATCACAAGTTTTTGTAATACCTATGTGGTGGGATGGCTGATATTCAGAACACCTTAATACAAAAGCAACATGTTACAAATGCAGTAAATCTTAAATAAAATCAGAAAATGCCACCATCACTCAACAAATCATACTAATACTTCAGGTTGCTGACTTTTGATCAGAACTGGACAAAGTTCAAGAAGGTAAGAGTTTTAAGAATAGAGTTAAAAGAAGGAGTAAAAGGAAATCAAAAGGTCTTGAATCAGGTGGAAGGCTGGAGTGGTGAAATGACAAAACGGATGGTGGTCCAAAAGAGCTTGGTCACAGGCCCATACAAAAACAAGCTGTAGGTGTAGAAGAGGTGCTGGAAGAGCAGAATGCTTAACAGTGACTCGCAAGCAAGAAGAAATGAGTGGTCAGATTGGCTGTTTGGGAAATGTTTGATTCTTTGAAGAATATGTAAGACTAGCAAAGGGCGAGTGAAATCTGTGAATGGTGCAAGTGAATAGGGAGCTTAAAGGGGTTGGCTGAGGATTTTAAAGAATGTTGCCAGGTGTGGACGAGTTGAGTTATAAAGAAAGGCTGGATGGACTGGGACTTTTTCTCACTGGAGTGTAGGAGGTTGAGAGGTGAAGGTTATCAAAGGTTATAGAAGGTTATAACATCATTACAGGTATAGATAAGGTTAATGGTAGGTGTCTTTTTCCTAGGATGGGGGAATTCAAGACCAGAGGGCGCATTTTTAAGGTGAGAGGAAAGAGATGTAAAAAAAACATGAGAGGCAAGTTTTTCACACAGCGGGTGGAATGAACTTCCTGAGCAAGTGGTGGATGTGAGCACAGTTACAATATTTAAAAGACATTTGGATAAGTACATGAATAAGAAAAGTTTGGAGGGATATGGGCCAGCAGCAGGCAGGTGGGACTCGTTTAGATTGGGATTATGTTCAGCATCAACTGGTTGGACCAAAGGGTCTGTTTCCATGCTGTATAGCTCTATGGCAACATTTTTCAGAAGCAAAGGGCATAATGTAGACACATAATTACTTACATGGCAAACAGCATAAGCAGCAAGTGATAGACAGAGCTAAGCAATTGCACAACGAATGGATCAGACCTAAGCTCTGCAGTGCTGCCACATCCAGTTGTGAATAGTGTGGACAATTAAACAGTTCATTAGATAAAATTAAGCCTAAAATATCCCATGCTCAATTTTTGGGTGCCCAGCAAATCAGTGCAAAAGATAATGCTGAAGCATTTGCATCAATCTTCAGCCAGAGGTGTTGAGGATATAATCCATTTTGCCCTCCTCCAGAGGTGCCCAGCATCACCAATACTTGTCTTCAGTCAATATGATTCATTCCACATCAATATTCAGAAATGACTGAAGGCTCCAGATCTGCAAAGGCTATGGTCCCTGAGAACATTCCAGTTATAGTCCCAAAAAATTGTCCTCCAGAAATTGCGGCACCCCTAGCCAAACAGTTCCAGTTCAGCTACAAGATTAGCATCTACCTGACAATGTGTAAAGTTGTTCTGTAATCAAAAAGCAGGACAATCCAACCCAGCCAATTATCACCCCATCAGTCTACACTCGATCTTCAGAAACGTGATGGATTATGTCATCAAGCAGCACTTGACTAGCAACAATCTGGTGACTGAAGCGCAGTCTGGAATCCACCAGAGCCACTCAAACATGGACAGAAGAGGTGAATTACAAAGATGAGGTAAGAGTGACTGCCCTTGACATTGAGGCCACATTTGATTGAGTATGGCATCAAGGAACCTTAACAAAACTGCAGTCAGTGGGAATCAGGGGAAAGTTCTGTTGGTTGGAGTCCGACCTGGCACAAGGAAGATATGTATGGTAGGTGGAAGTCAATCATTTTAGTGCCAGGATATCTCTGTAGAAATTCCTCAGGGAACTGTCTGCCTTTCCAACCATCTTCATCTGCTTCCCTCTATCATGAAATCAAAAGTGGGGATGTTCACCAATGATTGCACAACATTCACCATCATTCACGACTGCTCAGAGGGACACCATGTCCAAATGCAACAAGACCTGGACAATATGCAGCTTTGAGCTAATAAGGGTTAATTAACATTCAAGCCACACAAATGTCAGGCAATCACCATCTCCAACAAGAAAGAATCTAACCATCACTCCTTGATGTTCAATGGAAGTCCCATCATCAAATGCCCCACTGTCAACATCCTGGGGTTACCATTTACCAGAAACTCAACTGGACTCACCACATAAACACAGTGGCTGGTCAAAGGCAAGGAATTCTACAGTGAGTAACTTACCTCCTGACTCCCCAAATCCTGTCCACCAACTACAAGGCACAAGTCAGGAATGTCATGGAATACTCCCCAGTTGTCTGGATGAGTGTAACTCCAAAAACATTCAAGAGGTTTAACATCATTAGGACAAAGTAACCTGCTTATCCACAAATATTCACCCTCCACCACCAACACTCAATGGCAGCAGGTTGTATCATCTACAAGATGCACTTCAGAAGTTCACCAAAGATCCTCAGACAACATCTTCCAAACCCACAACCACTTCCATCTAGAAGGACAAGTGCAGCAGATGCATGGAAACACCACCACCAGAAGTTCCCCTCCAAGCCACTCACCACCCTGACTTGGAAATATATCACCGTTCCTTCTTTGTCGCTGGGTCAGAATCCTGGAATGCCCTCCCTATTGGCATAGCAGGGACTGCAGTGATTCAGGAAGACAGTTCCACACTAACCCCAAAAGGGAAACTAGAATGGGCAGTAAATGCTGGCACAGCCAGCAACACTCACATCGGATGAGTGATTTTTTTTTACATGATGGGAGAGAGGATTTAAGAAAGGTGAAGAAAAGTTTACCAGGCCAGTAAAGTAAATTGAAATGGAAGCTCACGTCTGGAGCAGGTGAAACCAGCCCTCCCAGCTCCCATCCCCTGAATGGACACAAGTCGGCCTGGTTCTGGAGTGATTATTAGAACATACATTTCCTTTAGTAAAAGGGATAAAGAGATGGGACAACATGAGGGAATCCAGAATTAAAGTTTGAAGTCTTGTAGTGAAGTGAAGTTGATGTTGGCAGGGTGGAGTTGGTATAGAGCATCAAGGAAATTCATTCAGTTCCACAGACTTGTTTGCAGGGTGAATAACATCCAGAAGCTATTTGAAAGGATCGAGTAGCTGAAGGATGCACTGAACGACACGTTTCCTCATGAATGAACATCCACATGTGAGTGTAGAATCAGTTGCAGGACAGAGAAAAACACACAGTGAGTTGTAGGTGGCTGTAAGATCCCAGTGAAGCAGAGGAATGTGGTTCAGCCTAGGAGAGTGAATCATGTAATGAGAAAAGAAACTGCAGCTGAATGTAAAAACCAGTTGATCCAGTAGGCTAGCCGCAGGCAGGGTGGAGACCAGCAATGAGGGGGAAGAACTGCAAACTGATCTCCTGCTTCAGAAATGGGCTACGTTTGGTGCTACTGCCTAGGATTCATTTGTACAGGCTGACTTGGCATCCAGTTTACTTTACCTCCACTGCTGACATCCACCAGTGTGCCCATTGTCCTCCTCTGCCAGCCAACCCACTTCTGCCCATCCTAGCTCCTCAATGCCCATTTCCTGACATCTTTCCTGACTCCTCACTGACCCCCACTCCTGATCCCTGATTGTCCCACTCATCACCCATTCCTGTCACCCTTGATAAGTCCCTCCACTGCCCCACTCCTGATCTCTGACCATTATGCAGCTACATCACTGTCTCAACTTACTGCCCCTCTTCCAATCAACCACTCACCACTGCTCCACTGACCCTTCACTGTCCCACTCACCACCCCTCACTGAATTGCCTCATTGCCCCTCTTCCGGACACTCGCCACCCCACTTTTAACTCCTTACTGATCCCCCCTTGAAAAGAATCAGCCCTTTCACCAAACCCCTGCCAACCCCGCCCCCCCCATGCCCATTCTTATTAATATGAATTTTAAAGAATTAAAACCTCTGATCCTTGTGGCACTCCATTCATCACATCCTGCCAATCTGAAGGTGACCACGTATGCTCACCTTGCTTAGCTGTTAAGAATCAAACACGTTGCTGTGGATCCAAAGTTGCTTGTTGGCCAGACTGGGTAAAGATGGCAGATTTCATTCCCTGAATGACATTAGTGACCAAAGGGGAACAAAAACAGAAATTGCTGGAAAAGCTCAGCGGGTCTAGCAGTAACTGTGAAGGGAAAACAGAATTAATGTTTTGAGTCGAGTGACCCTTCCCCTGTTCTGAGTCCTGAAATGTTAACTCTGATTTGTTTCTACCGATGCTGTTTTTCTTTCTGATATACAGAATTCTCAGTTCTTTTGGTTTTTCTTTAGTGACCAAAAGGGGTTTTAGAAAAATTCATGATTATTTCATGGTCACCATTGCTGTGAAAAATTTTCAATTCTAGATTTATTCATTGTATTTAAATTCCATCCATAATTATCCTGGGCCTGTGGATTACTAGTCTAGTGATATTATCACTACATACCATCTCCCCTGATTATGATAAAACTTTCTATGTGCCCTGCTGTGATTTTGTGTTCTGTGTTCTGGGAACTCATTAATAATAAATTCCAACATTTTCCCAATCACCTGTTGTTTCTTGCTTTCTGTCTCTCTCTTTTCTTGGAATAGACAAATCACATTTGCTCTCTTCCAATCTGATGGGGCTTTTCCAGACTCTAGGGAATTTTCAAAAGGGAAAACCATTACATTTACTATCCCAGCAGCTACTCCTTTTCACACCCTGGGATGAAGCCCATCAGGATGTGGCTACTTACATTCTGAGGGAGGGTCACTGGACCCAAAACGTTAATTCTGATTTTTTTCTTCACAGATGCTGCCAGATCTGCTGAGCTTTTCCAGCAACTTCTGTTTTTGTTCTTATTTACAGCATCCACAGTCCTTTTGGTTTTCATTTAGTGGCAACTTACCAGTTTTTTGCGACAATAATTGTTTCAGTACCCTTTTCCTGATTGTTTTAAATAACACATTCTATTTCACAGTTATATTTGGGATGTTATTTGATTTCTCTACAGTGGAGACAGATGCAAATTTCATCTGCTATGTTCTTAGCTTCCAGTACTAATTCCCCAGATTCACTCTCAAGAGAGTCAATTCACCGTTACTTGCCTCATTTTCTTTTTAAATACTTGTAGAAACTGGCTAGCTTTCTGTCATGCTCTAATTTCTCCTTCCTTATTAATCTTTTTGTCATCCCTTGTTGTTCTGTCCGATCTTTTGATCTGCAACTGAACTTTCAGAAGTTTTTCTTTCAGTTTCAAATGATCATCAACTTCCACGATTGTGTAAGGATTATACATTATTCTATATGGAATTATAAGAATGGAAATTTGAATTTTCAACTTGATTTTTTTTACAGTTCAAAGGAAAAGTAGAACTGTATTGTGTTCTTTTGCTGAAAGTGAATTTGACAGTTTTGTGGGACACTGAACACAGGTTTCTTTGGGGAATAAATAAGTAGCTGCCTAGCAACATCGTGTGGATTGGTTATAAGTAGCAGTTTGTCACTGAATTGAAAGGAGAGACAGCAGCTAGGATGGAAACTGCCGTCCTTACCTAGTCGGGCCTACATGTGACTTCAGACCCACAGCAACGTGGTTGACTCTTAACTGCCCTCTGGGCAATTAGAGATGGGCAATAAATCCTGCCCAGCCAGCGACACCCTCATTCCGTGAATGAATAAAGAAAAAAAACTCAGATATCCAAAAACTTGCCAGCCAGTGAGATCATTTTCTCTCTCTCTGAGCGGAAAGTAAATAACAAAAGACTCTGCCAAAAAAACCAAACAACTGCTCAATCAAGTCAAGACTTAATGTCCAATTAACCAGCTAGCAATTGAGATCGCTACTGTCAATAACAATGTAATATAATCACCTTAAACCAAAAAAGAATTGAGAGAAGGCTACATCATTTACTCATTGTGGTTTGGTCTCTGATCCACAAACTTTACTTTTTTGTCCATATTTTCCAGGCACAGTACTCATGAAAAAATAAATTGTCTTGTCTGTCCTATCTATAATGTTTGTGAATGAATGTGAATGTTTGGATTTAAAATGGGTATAGTTTAAGTTTGCATATTAGTAATTAAGAACCTTTTTTGCACATTTTAGAGCGTTAGTATGTTATAATAGGTAGGTTTTTGTTTTCTTGTTTATTAATGTATCCTGCTCTGAGCTTCATTAGCCTGGAGACTTTATTATCCTAGAGATTAAATTTGATATATTTTGTATTCGTGACATTTCATGGAATTGGGATGCTTGACATCTTGCACAATTTTCCCAAAAGGGTCATGGTATTAGTTTTAAATAATGTGTCCTTTCCTGAAAATGTTTCTTTCTCACTGGAATGTGCCTTAAGTTTAAAACACCAGTGTCCTATCCATCCTTCTATTTCTCAAACTGGATACGAAATTCAATCGTGTTACGATTCCCATTACATGGAGGCACAGTGATAGAAGTTAACAGCATAAAGAGATTAAAGCAACACTACAGCAGAACAAAGGCAAGCGGCTATGTTTAACTGTATGTTTCAGGGTAGGAAACAACATCTTAATGCCTAAAGAGAAGCCCTGGAAGTTGGAAGCCAAATTTAAGGAAAGGCAATTGGAAACTTGGTCAGGGGATGGACCGTAACAGTTTATGCTAGTGGTCAAATTGTTGTTGCTGCAGAGGTGACTTAAGAAGTGAAGGAGAAAGGGACATAGATCACCAAGGAAAGAATTACAGTCAGGATCTCTACAGGGAGCTGATCACCCAGACATTACAAACAGAAAAATTCAATTGTAATACTACAAGGAATAACTAATTTCAAATGTTATCTTCCAGTTGTGATACGCGGTGTAGTGGTCCTGCTGGTCAGTGGCCTGACATTGTTCGTTGCAAATAAATTGATGAATTCTTCAGAAAAACAGAATAATGCGGAACACTTAGCAGGTACGGACATCAAATTCCATATTTCTAAAAAAGCAGAAGTCAACTTTGATGTATTGTTATATATTCGAATGGAAATATTTCTTGTGTTCTGTCAGTGACAGTAACTGTTAGATTTATATAAACCTGAATGATAGTTTTGAATGTTGACAAAGAAAATTGATTCAGATAAATTTTAAAATGCGATTTTTAAAATATTACACAGTGGTTCCGTCAGTATCTCAAAGAGAGTCATGTTAAAATTTTTGTTTATGTTTGTGATAGAACTGTGATGTGTTGCTTTGGAACATAGGAATGGGAGTAGGCCTTTGTGACAATGCTGTGGCTGAAAGATGTTATTTTGTCCTGGATTTTTCTTAAAAGAAAGATTGAACGAGAGGTAGTGAGCAGTCTGTAAGAGAGTAAACAGCTTGAGAGGCCTTGGGTTTTTTTTTAGAAGTTTGAACAATAGAAGCAGCATGAATGCATATAGTTGAGCTCCCACAGATTCAGGGATCTTTATTTAAGCTTTCAATAGTTGGGGTCTCTGCAGGGTTAGAAAGCAGTGAATCTCCTGGATGCTACACTCTTTGAGTTTTCTCTGGATGTTTTTCCTCCTGGGCTGTTGATGTTGCATGCAAGTTTTCCAATAGAGTTAAGTTATTCCAAGTTCCTCTTTCTTTTGTTGTGTTTCAACTATAGTGTTTGAATAAATTGTGTTTTGCGTAATGTTGAATAGTTTGATCCATTGAATTGCATTCAGAACACAGCACCTCACATTTACGTTTGAAATAAGATAAAGTTAAGGTATAGGCTACCTTCTTATTATATTTTGAGGGGGTCTGGTCTGGTCCATAACACCATTCAATTCATTGAGCCTCCTCCATCATTCTAGGTCACGGCTAATCATCTCTTCAGTGCACTCTCTCGCATTATCTCCATATTTCTTAATGTCATTAGCCTTCAGAAACTGTGTTGACTTCTGTTCTGAACTTGCTCAATGAGTGATCTTTGACACTCCCCAGGGAAAGATTTGCAAGGATTCATCACCCTCTGAGGTGAATAAATTCCTCCACATCTCAGTCTTAAATAACCTGCTCCTTATCCTGAGATTATGTTCTCTAGAATCACCAGCCAGGGAAGTATCCTATCAATTTCCAGCCAGTTGTGCCCTGTAAGAATTTTGTGAACTTCAACGAGATCCCTCTCATTCTTTGAAACTCCAGAGAATACAGACACAGTTTACTCAATCTTTCCTCATATGACAATCTCACCATGCTAGGGATTAATCTAGTGAACCTCCATTGAACCCACTGTAGGACAAGTATTTACTTCCTTACATTAGGAGAAAAAAAAATGGACCCAGTACTCCAGTTGAGGACTCACCAAAGCTCGATACAACCACAGCAAGACATCTTTATTCTTGGACTCAAATGATTAGTTTTAATTTACCTCAGTTGCCAAAGTAGAGAGTTTGGGGTTCAAGTTGAGTTTGCCAATATTTCATTATGGTTGGCCAACAAAACTGAGTATGTCTACTCTGAGGGCAAGCTGCTCCAATACTTAGTTACACATTTGACAAGTCAACAGCTGGGTGCTATACTGGGAGTAAATAATCTCTGACATTGTCTGGTGCTTATGCTTGGGCATTTAGGAAATGACCATAGCTACAACGCATAATGATTGCTTGTGCTATCTAAATATAACACAATGAGATGTGCAGGTTCTATTTACCTGAAGATCTCTGGATCATTTTGTTTACGGCTCAACTAGTATGTACAGTACAGAGTAATCTGTAGACAGATCTTTTGTCTAGGGTGCTGTAATGTAGAGCGGTTGTGGCCTCAGGTTATGTGATTACATCCAGGTACTTGATTCTTCTGTATGTTGAGCTTCTTAACAGTCCATCACTCTTAAAGTGATAACAGGTTACGAAGTGCTTGATGAAGAAATAGTTAACTTTTAAAGAATTTCAGTCCAGTTTTGCTGAAATTTCCAGACACTGCCAGTAAGATCATAGAAGTAAATCCAATTACACCCACATTTTCTAATTCACTTATGAAGCTGTTTTATATATTCTATGAAGCCATTAATCAACAGGAAGTATATAATCTGTTCCTAAGAGAACTGAATGGAGACATTTGACTAAGTAGTCACCCAATTCTCAAACAGGTGTTGGGTCTCAATTCACACATGCAGTGTCTATTGCTTGTTTCAGCACTGTCCTTGGGTGCTTCATTTCCTGCCTTTTTTATTGATATGGCAGGCAGCAAATTTCCAGTGTAGTGCATGTACATGCTCACAGCCTTCTTCATTGGATCCTTTGAAACCCATTTTATCACTGAAAGAAAAAGGAACAACATTGCTAGTTTCTAGGTAATTATGTTTTTGAATAATGAGAAGTACATTATGTGTTTTTTATTAACTTTTACAGAGCCAAAAGTTAAGAAGTCCCTGTGTGAATTGGATACACATTGTACTGCAAACCATTTCCCATTTAAAATCATTAGCGGGGCAGCTAATGTTGTTGGACCCAGCATTTGTTTCAATGATAAAGCGTAAGTAACAAAGATCTAACTCTGAACAATGCTGCAGCTGGATTGTAAATATCCTTTGAATTATAAACCTCCCATGATATTTGTTTAACTGAAGATCATTCTAAATCTAATGTATGCCTCTTAATTATTTAGTTTTGACTTACAATGGTGCAAGACATTCAGTATTTAATAAAACATTAACCAGAGTCAAGAAACAAAATGAAGTATTCAGCCAGCAAATAATTTTAGTATAACTTTGTCCTCATTCCTGATATTGACCATAGAAGGGAAGCACACAATTATAGGAGATCAGCAGAAATGAAGAAAGGAGTGTCTGATGTTGATTGATTGAAATGGATTAAAGCCAAATGGGAAATAAAGAAAATCTGCAGATAAACAATCAGTGGGCTTAAATCTTCAGATACATAAACCAATTCAGACCTCGTGTTCTGGTCATCAGAGTAGATTTCCTGAAAAATAACTTTTTCCAGACATTTGTGACACCATTCAGATATTGTACAAGGTCTCAAGTCAAAGTGAGTTAGCATTTCCAATCTGTAGTCCTCGACAAAGTAACCCCTGCTTTTCTGTCAATGTTGAATGATGGCAAGGATTGTATTGAATATAATGCACTCCTCACTCCAAGGTGAAATAGTCTGACAATGCTTAATGTTCAGCTTAGCAGTCATATAGACACTGCACAAATCACAGGTTCAGGACCATGGTAAAAATTACTGCTTGCTATTTGAGATGTCTCCTTTTTTTCTCTTCCTTATAGACTCATGACCAGTGTAAAGAATAACATTGGAAAAGGGCTAAACATTGCTTTAGTTAATGGTGAGTAGACAGCGAACATGTGATGAATAAATGTTCCTATTGCTTCATATTAGTTATTATTTCTAATACATTATGATTATGTCTCTTTATTTCACAGCTTCATCTGGTAATCTAATAGCAACTGACTTTTTCGACATGTGGACTGGAAGTAAGATGTTTCTAAACTTGAAATGAATTTGTTCTGATTTAGCCTGCACAAAATAATTGACCCAGTCTATCCCTTTCCTTTGTTGTTAGACATTTGTGGATGCTGGAAGGTATGGATGTGGAGATAATTCACTACAAATGCAAACAGAACATAATGGTTTCAATTTTAATTACTGTCTCTAAACACAAACCAAGGAACCAATGTTCACATCACAATAAGATTAAAATTATAGAATTAAGAGATTACTAATTTCCTTTCTTCCAGATATCAAGTTGCTGGTGGCTTTCTTACATCAGGTTAAACCTGGGACTATTGTCTTACTTGCTTCTTTTGATGAACCGGCAACAAAGTGAGTCAAAGTAACTTTTGGATGGAATGGGTCATGGGCTATGGTGGCCTGGTCTCAAGACCACATCATATGATCCTGTTCTAATTTGTTTTATTGTGATCTCACCACATGTGAATATTTGGGATAACAAATACAAACTCATCCATGGTACATGTAGCATTTAATTAATAATTACAATAGAAATCATTTATAACAAAATCATTTATAGCAGTAAATCCATTGCAACAAAGCTATCCCAGTGTACAAACTTTTACTGCCTGCTTTTCTATTACCTACAGGAAAACATTTTGTGAGAAAACATAGTGGATCTGCTGCCTAATACTGCTTCCACTCCACTGAGACTTGCCTATGCTGCTATTTCTAATACATCCATCCAACCCTGTTGCATCTCTCCATCTGTCTGTGCCTGTTCTAATGCTGTGAAGGAGGTTACCAGCTGGGACAGTAAGCTGCTAATTTGGGTTAAACACATGCTGCATCATATTTAATGTGCTGTTGAACAGCATGCTTGCTTAATGTTCATCACTGGCTATCATACTGACTGGTAACTTGCTCCAGAACTTTGGCACACTGGCTAGTAGGTTAGGAGAGGTAGTAGCTCTAGATGCTGAGGTTAGAGGTATCAGTTGAGTATCAAAATAATAAAATCTGAATTGTTGACTTATTAATGCCTTTAACTGCAGCTACATTATTATCAGCAGTTTATACTGTGTTTCATCAATTTAACATCCACCTCAGAATAGGAAAGGAAGCGCATCTTTCTTAAGCAATAAATAAAGGATGGATTGGAAATTTTAAAATGTGGATGAAATTCTCCCATTAAAGGCATTCTCTTTACCTATTCTAGAGTTTTTTAGGTCATCAATTCCCATATAAAACCTGATTTCCAAACACTGTGCATAAAGCCAAGTACCAACAGTTTAAGGGAATTGGGAGAAAAGATTAAACCAGAAGGTGAAATTTTAGTTGCTTTCACATTGGCACCATTTTAGATATAAGTAAGTCATCAGCTTTCCAAGTTTATATTAGCTTTCCTTATCCTGAAACGTGGCCGACAGACAGTTTTTTAAATTGATTTATGCATCTGCTATCAAGGTTTGAAAGCCATATTCAAGAAAGTAGTGACTTCTAAATGCCAGCATCCTGGAAACAAGTTATATAATGCCAAAATAAAAGTCTGCAAAGATGCCACTCTAAAGATGTGGGCAAGTTACATGCCACAATCTCTCATTTGAGATGAAAGTCCTCCAGCTAATCTCTGAAAAGATCAAATAGACACAGCCTCTACCAAAAAACTTTATAATCTACTCATTCGCTCCATTCCCAACTTCAGCTATGTCAAGTTTAACAATGCTGTTAACAAGGGGTGTGCTAACTGAACTTGAGCCAATGTTTCAGTCCCATTTCTCATGTATCACTTGTCCCACCTCTCTTATGACCTCTATCTTCAACCTTATTTCAACCAAACTGCTGCTGAAACATTCATTCATGTCTTTGGCATCTTCAGACTCAACTATTCTGACACAAACTCCTCTCTCTATCTTCCATAAATCAGCTCATCTAAAACTCTGCAATGCACCTTCACTCTTACATCTCATCCTGTCCCCACTGATCAACATTGGTTTTCAGTGATCCAGTCCTTCAATGTGAACATTTTTGCTTTGATGTTTAAATTCCTTTGCAGCCTCATTTCTCCGACCTGTGACCTCTTTCCACCAAACCTTCTGTTTCATTGACTTAAACCTCTTATGATTACCCTCGTTATACTCCACCATTGATTAAACATGATTATACATTCAGCAGCTGTCCAGATCCCACTGACTGAAATTCCCTCAACCACCATCTTCTTATTCTTATTCGTTCATTCCTGGGATAAGGGTGTCACTGGCTGGGTCAACATTTATTGTGCAACCCTAAATGCCCTTGCGAACATGGTGGTAAGCTCTCACCCTGAGTCACTGCAGTCTATGGTGGATAGGTACACCCATAGTACTGATAGGAAGGAGAGCTTCAGGATTTTGACCCAGTGACATTGAAGGAACAACAATGTATTTCCAAGTCAGGATGGTGAGTGTCTTGGAGGAGATCATGGAAATGGTAGTGTTCCCATCTTCACCTTTCAGCTGGCAAAGGTCACAGGCGTGGAAAGTGTTGTTGAGCAATCCTGAGCTGCGAGAGTGCATCTTATAGATGGTACACAACTACTCCCACTTGGTGGTGGAGGGAATTATTTTTAAAGTTTCAAGTGGGGTGCCAATTGGCAGATTGCTTTGTCCAGGTAATATTGAGTTTCTTCAGTGTTGTTAGGGCTATACTCATGCAAGCCAGGGATAAGAATTCCATCCATACACACGAATTGTGGGCTCTGGGAGGTTAGGAGGTGAGTTAGAAATTTAGTTTCTGGTCAATGGTAACTCCACAGTGCTGATTGCAAAGGGATTCAATGATGTTAATGCCATCTTCTCATTTTAGGCCTTCCTTACGCTCCTATTCTTTGATCAAGCTTTTCACAATTATTATTATCATCACTTTTAAAAGATGACTTGGGTTTTTTTTGCATTAAGAGAGCTATGTAAATGCAAATTGGTATTTTTGTAGCATGGAAATTCTTTTTATTCATTCACACATGGGACATGGGCATCACTGATTGGCCAGCACTTATTACCTGTCCCTAGTTGCCTTTGAGAAGGTGGTGGTGAGCTGCCTTCTTGAACCGCTGCAGTCCACCTGCTGTAGGTTAACCCATAATGCCATTATGCAGAGAATGCCAGGATTTTGACCCAGTGACAGTGAAGGAGTAGCGATATATGTCCAAGTCGGGATGGTGAGCGGCTTGGAGGGGAACTTGCAGTTAGTGGTGTTCCCATATATCTGCTGCCCTTGTCCTTCTGGATAGAAGTAGTCGTGCATTTGGAAGGTACTGTCTAAGGATCTTTGGTGAATTTCTGCAGTGTATCTTGTACATAGTATACGCTGCTGAGTGTCAGTGGTGGAGGGAGTGGATGCTTATGGATGTGATGACAATCAGGCGGGTTGCTTTGTCCTAGATGGTGTCAAACTTCTGACATGCTGTCCTGCACCCTTCATTGAACCAGGATTAATCCCCTAGCCTGATGGTAATGGTTGGGTGGGGAATGTTGGAGTACAATTCTGCTGCTGTTGATGGCCCACAACATTTCATGGATGCCCAGTTTTGAGTTGCTGAATCCATGCTAAATCTGCCCGTTTAGCATGGTGAAATTACAATGGAAGATATTCTCAATGTGAAGGCGGGACTTCTCTACAAGGACTACACAGTAGTCACTCATCAATACTGTATTGGAGACAAATACATCTGCAGCTGATAGATTGGTAAGGATGAGATCAAGTATGTTCTTCCCTCTTGTTGGTTCCCATCCTGTGCCTCATACCACACCAAACATATCAGTGGGCCAAACTCATTTTAAAAGTTACCTCCCAGGCATGCAGAGAGCTTCAATACCTCAGTCTTAAATGTATTAAAACATGGATCCAGAAGTCAAAGACCAGTGTGCTAATTCGCTGTCGCATACAGGCTTTCCTGATTGGTCACAGCTCTTCTCTAGACCTTTTGTAGTTGAGTCCACATTTTAAAAAAAATTATGTGGTTGCTTGAAGTAAATACAAATTAATCATTTTTTTCCCTTTTTTTAGGCTTACTGATGAAGTAAGAACACTTTTTAGTGAGCTCGGAAGCTCCTTAGTTCATGATGTTAAGTTTCGGGACAACTGGATTTTTGTTGGAGCAAAACCAATTAAGGAGAAAAGTCCATTTGAACAGGTGTGAACAAAGAATATGATTGCAATCCAAATTAATTAATTTGATCAAATATTCAAGTACTGATGGGTTTGATGTAATTTATTTATATCCTTGTGATTGAATGTTGTTGGTTTATGTACAGATGGATTGCATGGTTACGATTTGAGGCTGTTTAACAGATTGTTCTTTTTTATTCTTGTATTACTTGCAACCATTTTTGTGAAGTTTCATGAAACAAAGCCAAGTTAAAGTGTGTGAACAGCATTCTTATCACCCTCAAAATTCACACCAACTGAACTTTTGTAACCAAGGGCATAGGGAACAAACTTAGTGTCTGTACTATGAGGCCTAAGCAGCCCAGATTTTGGGCCTTGAGCCTCACTTCCGTCAAGCCAGTGAGCTGAGAAGAGCTGACAAGTCATCAGCTAAGCATGTTTGAAGGTTGGGTCATAGCTGGTGTTATATTGGCTACCAGGTAAATGTGATATTGGGGACTGGAAAAGAAGTGGTGACTTAATGTCAGGGCAGTGGCGGGGTGGGGTGGGAGGGGTGTTTGGAGGGGGGAGACTGTAATTAGAAGGATAGGGTTCAGTGACTGCTATTTATTTGAATGTGGGGGTCATCCTTCCCACTCCACAGTCAGCAAAGTTAATTTTAAGATGGTATTTTGTTGATTGTGACCTACAATGCGTGCTTTAACAACTTGCCATCAGTCCACATAAAAAGTTGGGCAAATCAGTCTTGCTTGGGCATAAATCCAGCATGCGGTTCCTCATTTGCAAATGCAAGTTATGTCAATTTTACACAGATTTCTTATCTCAACACAGAAAAATGTGTACTAACATCAGTGTAAATATGCCCTTCCATGCCTGTAGTAGTGTCTTTTATTGTGAATATCATCCATCCTCTGACTTTTTTTTATATATACCCGTAAAACGTTAAAAACTTGGAATATTTAATTCCTAGTCTGGCATTGACCAAAGCCACATCTACAGCATTGCAGCTTTTCATGTCCCTCCAAAACAATCAGTCAGTTTCCTGACTTTTCCTCATAGCTTTGCAACACTAAATCCTTAATCTTCTTCATACCCTTACCAATTTTTTTCCATCATTATTCTTTGGATTTTCTTTTCTTTTGTCCATGTGTCTGAGTTTGCTAGTTTAAACTAATTTGCTGTTTTATTAAACTCTTTCTTAAGCCCCATCCTCATATGGTGTCTGATTATCTCCCCCAGATACATTGTCCACTTTGCAGCTAAGTTGTTGTGTCAAAGTATCTTACAGGTTGTCACTTCAGCTATGGCTTAGGATGAATTTTCTCACACTTCCAAGTTTTTTTCAACTTAATTGTCCATACAAGTGAGTTGTTTCGGCAAAGCATATGGGGCAAGTGCTCAGGAAGATTTTGCCCTCGTTGTTTCGGTTCTTTGTGGACTTTGCCTGGATTAGGAGAGATTCCAGAACCTGAATGTACAGAGTCAAAAATATTAACCTAACTTATATTCATCTGCACTTCTTATTGCTGAACATGAGCTTTTCATGGTGAGCTACCACCATCAAAAAGTGAAGGATTTGGCCATGTTTTTCTTTGATGTTGCTCATTACTGTAATATCATCAACAATGAATCGACACCCAGGCACAGTTTCTATAATTCTGTCCATACGCTGCTTGTCTTGACTGACAGACAAACCGAAAGGTAGTCTGTGGAAGCAATATTTTCCAAACAGTGAAAGGCAATGACTTTGTGAGACCCCTTGGCTAAGTGCACCAACTGATATCCATGTATGGTGTCCAGCTCAGAGAGGGACTTGGATCCTAGGAACCTGGAATTCAATTCCCCTAGTGTTGGAATCTTGTGTGGGTATCCCTCAAGGATTTTCACATCCAGACATACTCTGGTTGCACTATCCTCTTTTAGTTCACAGGTAATTGAACTACAGCAGTCTGTGTGGTGATGCACACAATGAACAGTGCCATTGCATTCTTCGGGATCAAGCTTGCACTTAAACTTTTCCTCTATGCAAATACTGCACTTTGTGGAAGGGTTAATTGACAAAATTAAATCTTCTCTCAGATGCAATACAGCATTAAACCTGACTGGGTACAATTGTTGTAAATCATGGATTGCCTTAATGTGAGTATTCTCAGTCCCTGCTACTGCTAGCCACCTTAATTGTTCCCCTCCAGGTCTTGTCTCAGGTCTGTCTTTTTGTGATCTCTGTGTGTCAGCTAATGTTGAGATCTGTATACACTGGTGGACCTGCTGTGGTGCGCTGCTCATGTTTACCAAGTAAAGTACTTGTGGTTAAATTCACACAGCTGCATTGCATCATTAATATTCCAATGTATGGGATGGGTAACCTATTGTGAACGGTTCATTTGGCTGAAGTTGGGTTTAGCATTGTGTTCCCACAATGTAGGTATATGTCCTTCAGAATTTGAACTGTTAAGATACTTGCACAAACTCCCATGTCAATCTTGATTTTTCTTGTGTATTTGCTAGTTTTTTGGGGGGCTAATGATTTTGATTGTGCCAACAGCTTCTCATTGCCTGGCTTTATCCACATGATATCAAATGTTTGTTTATCCTGTGGTTAAAGGTTGTTCCTCTCCAGGTTATGTCTCAGGTCTGTCTTTCTGTGATCTCTCTGCATCAGCTTATGTTTACTCAGGTCTCTGGTACATTCCTTGCTGATATTGTCATGCTACTGTGTCAGACTTCTGTTTGGCTGTTCCCTGTTATACTCTCTGGCTGCGATTTTGGAGCCAGATTTGTTTGTTAGGTTGGCCCAGTGTCATTTTTTACCACTGCTTTGCATAGATCTTGGAATGCAGGACGGCTTTCTGGGGTGCGATAGACCCTCCATGCCACACAGCTAACTCGTTTTTTGTGTTCTGGCTACAGTGCAGTGCTGTTGGCTGTATCCAGTACTTGCTGATGTCTGACTGTCCTGGCTTCATATTTTATGCCATCTGCTAGCAGTGAATCAATGCTGTAACCTTTCATTTTTTCCAGGTGGTCCTTTTGGAATGCTTCGATAAGTGTTGAGGCAATTACCAACACAGTTATCCACTCCAACATTTCAGTTTCTGAAACATCATATTGTCACCCCTGTTACAGCATTGACTGACAAATTGATCAATTGATTCCTGTTGCTGTCACTGGTAGGACATCAATTCTAAGTGGTACATTTGACAATTAACCCTTATACGCAGCTAATCTTCTCCAAATTTGCATATCTTTAAGGCACCTTTCTGCTCCTCTTCAGATAAACTCATAGTATTGGCTTTGTGTAATCCACCTTTACAAATTATTATCAGTGTTTTCACAGCTTGTGTAACTGCTTTCCAACTGCAAGATCTATGAAACATAGCTGCCTTAGTTTAAAAAGTTTGAACATGAATAGGAATGTCATAGTCTTCTAATTCATGCTGGAGGATGTGGTACCAGCCTTATGATCTTTTATCTTTTTAAGACACTATTGATATGCAGAAATCTGAGTTTCAGTCAGCTTATTACCATGGAGTCACTCTGTATATGTCTTCAGCATGGTTTCTGCTGTGTGCTCTTCTTTTGCTTTTTTCTTTTCACTTTATATTTTTGTGTACTTCTTGTGTGCCTTCAACACTTCTTCCTTTTTCTTTTTTCTATTTTTGATTTCAAACTTGTTTTCTGTTGACTTTTGTGCTGCTTCCAAAATCAGGCTACTTTTCTTTCTTTGTTTAAACTTGGGCACATTTTTTCCTTTGTTCACCGTGAAACTGACACCCATTAACCCTTCAAATTATAACTCGCCTCTAATAATGTGGCTTTGATCAACTGATTGTCTGCATGGACTCAGCCACCCCTGAGGTAGCCAGTTTGTAAATAAACCTAATTTTCTTGTTTGCTGAACTATGAAAACTTATTTCAGAGATAGTAGGAACTGCAGATGCTGGAGAATCTGAGATAACAAGGTATAGAGCTGGATGAACACAACAGGCCAAGCAGCATCAGAGGAGCAGGAAAGCTGACGTTTTGGGCCTAGACCCTTCTTCAGAAATGGGGGAGGGGAAGGGGGTTCTGAAATAAATAGGGAGAGAGGGGGAGGCAGATAGAAGATGGATAAAGGAGAAGATAGGTGGAGAGGAGACAGACAGGTCAAAGAGGCGGGGATGGAGCCAGTAAAGGTGAGTGTAGGTGGGGAGTTAGGGAGGGGATCGGTCAGTCCAGGAAGGACGGACAGGTCAAGGGGGCAGGGTGAGGCTAGTAGGTAGGAGATGGGGGTG